AAGCCCCCCAAAAAACCCAAACTCAATGGGGAACCTCCCCAAAAACCCCAATCTGGATGGGATTCTCCCAAAACCCCAATCTGGATGGGATTCTCCCAAAACCCCAATCTGGATGGGATTCTCCCCAAAACCCCAAACTGGATGGGATGACCCCCAAAAAACCCAAACTCAATGGGGAACCTCCCCCCTCAAAACCCCAAACTCAATGGGAACTCTCCCAAACACTCTAAATTCAATGGGATTCCCCCAAAAACCCCAAACTGGATGGGATTCCCCCAAAAAAACCCCAAACTCAATGGGATCCCCTCCCCAGACACCCCAAAGTCAATGGGATTCCCCCCAAAACCCCAAATTCAATGGCAATTCTCCCGAACACCCCAAACTGGATGGGATTCCCCCAAAACCCCAAACTTGATGGGATTTCCTCCAAACACCCTGAATTCAATGGGATTCCCCCTAAAACCCCAAACTGGATGGGAATTCTCCCAAACACTCTGAATTCAATGGGATTCCCCCCCCAAAACCCCAAACTCGATGGGATTCCCCCCAAAACCCCAAATTCAATGGGGAACTCCCCCCAAAACCCCAAACTGGATGGGATTCCCCCCAAAAAACCCCAAATTCAATGGGATCCTCTCCCCGGCACCCCAAACTCAACGGGAATTCTCCCAAACATCCCAAACTCAATGGGATCCCCCCAAAACCCCAAACTGGATGGGATTCCCCCCAAAATGAGGATGAGGAGGACAAGGAGGAGGACGAAGAGGATGGGAAGGAGGAGGAGGAGGAAATCAAGGATGAGGAGGAGGAAGGCAAGGGTGACGAGGATGAGGATGAGGAAGAGGAGGAGGATGAGGATGAGGATGAGGATGAGGAAGAGGAAGAGGAAGAGGAAGAGGAAGAGGAAGAGGAAGAGGAAGAGGAAGAGGAAGAGGAAGAGGAAGAAGAAGAGGATGAGGAAGAGGATAAGGATGAGGACGAGGATGAGGATGAGGATGAGGATGAGGAAGAGGAATAGGAAGAGGAAGAGGAAGAAGAAGAGGAAGAGGATGAGGACAAGGACGAGGATGAGGACGAGGATGAGGATGAGGAAGAGGAATAGGAAGAGGAAGAAGAGGATGAGGATGAGGACAAGGATGAGGACAAGGACGAGGATGAGGACGAGGAGGAGGATGAGGACAAGGACGAGGACAAGGACGAGGATGAGGATGAGGAGGTCTCCCGAGGGTCCTGGGTCAGGAGGCACCCAACACGTACTTGAAGTTGACGTTGGCGCAGACCAGGAGGTCGCTGAGCAGGAACACCTTCCTCTCCTTGGACTTGAGCAGCTGCCCGCGGTCCCCGTACACCGTCTCGGTCAGCGTCTCGCACAGCAGCAGCTGCCGCTGCCCCGAGCTCAGCAGCTGCAGGACAACCCCCAGGTGGTCACTCCAGGCTGGAGACGCCACCCCGGAGCGGCCAGGCTCACCACGGAGCCGGAGTCGCCAATTCCCAGCATTGCCAAAATATAAAGCTTCTCCAGAAGGTCCTAAGCCTCCCAAAACCTTCTCCAGAACCTCCCAAAAACTTTCTCAAGAACGTCTCCAAAGCTTCTCCACTGATCCCCAGAACTTCTCCAAAAGCTCAAAAAAACCTTCTCCAGAACTTCCTAAAACCTTCTGCAGATCCTCCCAAAAATCATCTCCAGATCCTTCCCAAAACTTTCCCCAGATCCTCCCAAAAATCATCTCCAGATCCTCCCAAAAACTTTCTTAAAATGTCTCCAAACCTTCTCCACTGCTCCCCAGAACTTCTCCAAAAGCTCCAAAAAACCTTCTCCAGAACCTCCTAAAACCTTCTGCAGATCCTCCCCAAAACCTTCTGCAGATCCTCCCCAAAATCTGCTCCAGATCCTCCCAAAACCTTCTCCAGATCCTCCGAAAAATCATCTCCAGATCCTCCCCAAAACCTTCTGCAGATCCTCCCCAAAAAACTCCTCCAGATCCTCCCAAAACCTTCTCCAGATCCTCCCCAAAAAACTCCTCCAGATCCTCCCAAAAACTTTATCAAAAATGTCTCCAAATCTTCTCCACTGTTCCCCAGAACTTCTCCAAAAGCTCCCAAAAAACCTTCTCCAGAACCTCCTAAAACCTTCTGCAGATCATCCCCAAAACCTTCTCCAGATCTTCCCAAAAATCATCTCCAGATTCTCCCAAAAACCTTCTCCAGATCCTCCCAAACCTTTTTCAAAAGCTCCCAAACCTTCTCCAGGAACTCCCCAAAACCTCCAGAACTTCCCAAAACTCCAAAAGCTCCCAAACCTCCTCCAGAACCTGGAGACACCCTGACATGGAGCGGGAGCTCCAAATCCAAACCCAGCAGATCCCTGGGGAGGAATTCCCAAATTCCACCTTCAAGGCTCGGATCCGCTGGGACCTAACCGGGATCCCGCTTCCCAAAAAACCCGAAGATGTGGAGAGGGACCACAAACCCCACCCAGCAGCTCCAAACCCCGCTGAGGATGGGGATGGGGTGGAGGACAAGGAAGATGAGGAGGAGGAGGAGGAGGAGGATGAGGAGGATGAAGAAAAGTAGAATGAAGAAAATGAGGTGGAGAACAAGGAAGAGGAGGAGGAGGAGGAGGA